GGGGGGGGGGGGGGGGGGGGGGGGGGGGGGGGGGGGGGGGGGGGGGGGGGGGGGGGGGGGGGGGGGGGGGGGGTGCTCAAGTAAACGCATGCCGTAGTCGCTCGACCATTGGCCTCGCATCCCTATAACTGCCGGGACGGAGCGATATGACTTTTTTGGACGGCCCAGGCTACTTTCCACAAAGATTAACCAGATGCTGGTATCATCCTGGAGCTGGAGATGCTTCAAGGCGAAGGAGAGGGACAAAGAAAGAAAGTAGCGATCGTGGGCATGATAAAAAAAGGGCCCTTGACTTGTGAGAAATAAAATTGTCGCAGTGTATGCCTAATACCGACGCGGGGAGCTGATAGCCGCGAGCCACGAAAAAACGCGCCACGTACGTGTATGTATCTACCTGCAGGAAATCACCCGTGAGCTTGAACTCTATCTCGATGAAGAGGATGTGGTGCGTCGGGTGGGTGTCGCTCCACTCCCTGATCTCCGCCAGGCACACCGACAGGCAGTTGCACGACGACACCGCGTCCAAAATGGACAGGTGAAACACGAACCACCTGGGACGACGTTCCAACAAGGGAAACAAAGCGTCACACAGAGAGATATTTAAGGCTTCACGTAAAGAGGAGGGGGGAGGGGGAGGATTGACGGGTTGGTCCTCTGTTGGTAGGCGCGGCCATCATCGTGGTTCTAAATTTACCTTCCGGTTTTCCAATCGTAGTGGGTGTCCAGCTCGAGGTGCCGTATCCCGGCGTCGAGCTGCGCCGTCAGCGACGGGTATTGGTAGTCCCAGTAATCGCTCAGAGCCGGCACGAACGTTCGTCGGTGGTAAGAGTTATGCGTCCCGATCACCTTTGGGGGACGTGGGGGCACCAAAAAGACAACAATCGTCGTTGTAAAGAGTTGTTTAGATTCCATGTAGTAGGCTGAAAGGGTATGAGTTGTGCATGCCGATCACCTTTGGGAGACGGCGAATGATGACAACAAGGATGGACACTCGTGTTCGTAAGTGTCGATTCAATATGTGTGCACATTTCAGGTTGGCTGAAGGGAACGAGTTACTATGCATTCTGATCACCTTTGAGCGACGTGGGGGCACCAAAGGATGAACACTGCTGCTGGCAAATATCGTTTCAAGATATGTGTAGATTTCTTGTCGTAGGCTGAATCAGCCCTGGTACGCGTGTCCGTGTTGCTTGTTTGTGGTTGGACTACTGTCGGAAGCGACAATCAGTTTAAGCACCGAAGAAGGTCCGGAGGCGGGATGACTACTGTAATTCCCCGAGAAGGTCCGTGCACGAAAAGAAACCCTTCCAGCAAAACATGTACTTCGAAACACATAGACTTGTGTGCTGTAGTCCATGTCAGATACACACAATGAGCCTGTTACCTACAGGGGCGATATCGCTGTATGCTGCTCGGGGAACAGGAGACACCCACAGGTTTGTTCAGATTTATCTCGGGCTCTTACCTGTTGTGATTACTACAGTTTACGTGTAAATAACTACAAACAGTAGTCTATTCGGCTTGTGACTAAACAGTAGGTACAGAAAAGAACAAGAGGAGCTTGCGCCCGGATACAAAAGGAGTGGAATATATATAGCGCATGAACCTTGGAGAAGTTTGCAGCCTTTAATCACTTCACCATCGTAGCTACCGCGGCCGACGCATATCGTTCTTTGATTTTCGGCCACCCCTCCTTGGGCGACTCACTTGGAGCTGGTTGATGTACAGGGTGGAGGTGCCCTGCTCGTCAGCAGCCGGCACCACCGAAGACGATAGCTGGCCCGAAGATCGTACGCAGGACGTGCGCACCGGCGAGAGGGCCCAAAAGAAAATCGCCACGGCCAGCAAAGCCAAGAACGAGGTCACCGTCACCACCGCGGCAGACCAGGCGAAGTTCAGCGCGGCCATAAGCCTGCGTCCGCAGACCGCCAACCATCTCGTCCTCCACGAAGAAAAGGCGACTATCGGAGGAAAACGATACCCGGCGCCGGCACTTCCTGTGCTAGAGGTATCGCTTCGCCCTGCGGTAGTGGAGCAGGCTCTCAACAGGCAATCGCTCCATTCCTCTTCGTCCCTCCAGAGCTCGTGCTGAGGGGAGACCAGAGAGTCGTCGAGGCCGCTGGGGGCCAGGGGAGTGGCAACCGGGCGCGGCGACGGCATGGGTGCAACTCGTCGTGCCGAAGAGACTCCGCTTGTGGTCATCACCATAGTTCCGGTTTCACATACATCACCATGACAGATCGCCGTCTTCCCGCTGCCCATCAAGCTCGGTGGCATTGGGTCCACGTTCTGCCGCCTCTGCGAGTGAGTAGCCTTTGCGGCTTTGGCAGTCATCGCCCGCGGCCCCGCTTTCCCGTATGTACGTACAAAGTATAAACGAAGGTGAACGGGCGTTCGATCTTCTTGGACCGATGGCCTGCTGATGTACAACAGCACACCACTCCCCGCTGCCCCTGCGCTCGGCCAGCTCGAAGTACCGTGAACGCGAAAGGGGAATAGACCTGGCCTTACTCCCCGCCGACCGTCAGATGTCGATGCTAGCCTGCGAGCGCCGGGTCCCGCGTGCGTGTGGCGTCTTCAACCCGCTCGCTTATCGGAGCTGGCTCTTGACAATATTTTTCTGATGAAAATCAAATCAACCATTGTAGGTTCTCCTCCACCAATCAAAACACCGGACACAGATTTCAAATTTCTCAAAAATCTGCTGCTGCTGCTGCTGCTGCTGCTGCTGCAACGCGCTAAATAATGCTTTTGCTGTAACATGTTCGAGCCTCTCCGAACATCTATGCATATAACCTTTATATATCGGTTAGATATTCATTGCCCAAATCTCCAGCAGCGACACCACGGCCTCCGCCACACAAAGTCCGCGTATCGTTGTAGCTGTGTGTAGCGTAAACCGACACCAAACACCCCCTACTAGATCGGGAGGTGGAACAGTTTGTTTTGGTTGAAAAAAATACCTGCAGTAGGCTTGTGCGGGAATACAGCTAGTGCCGGCCCGCACTTAGGAACCTCCCATATTGGGTGAGGCTCAGTTCTTATTGGCTGCCCCAACCCGAGCACCAGTTCTTATTCGCCAAGTTTTTATTTCGTCGTCCATTCTTCTCCAGAACGGGGCGTTCCTGTTCTTACAGTATTTTAACATCGTTTGCTATATTGTCGGCTGTCAACCATGAGCAACAATACTAGTACTGCTGTCGATACAAGAAAATACCAAGGCATGGAGCAGCAACTGTCGACCTTCTTGGTCCACAAGGGTGATATTGGTCCTGCGTACCCTTCCTGATCTACTAATTTATTATTATATCTTATCGCCTGTTACTTTAATACACTTACAAATCGCTTTCACGCTCTAGAACGAGCTGTTGGCGCGAGAGGCGGCTTAGGTGTTCCGTAATAGGTCGGTTTACTCTGGAGAATCCAACAGTAGTCTAGACTTTTAGACTCGTCCTCTCGCTACAGGAGCGTATCACTCTTTATCCCGACATTAAGTGCCGCACCGCACACACACGCAGAGAGAGACACTCCAGGGAGGAACACGCATGTATGTTTCCTCCAGGTACAAGCAGCGGCGGCCCACGCAAACACACCATCACGGGCGACTGTAGCTCGGGAATCTCTCACATACTGAATGTATACTGATGTAGCATACATACCGCGCGTTCTGCGTGGGTGAGAACCTATGGGAAATCCCGCCATATTTCCCTCGGGATGTGGATTGTACCACGTCTCTCTTGATTGCATAGTCTACGTGAGTCTGCGAAATCTTGAGCATTTGTGATGTACCCTCACAATTAGTGGTATTTCAAGCCCATCTCCTCGTGTATTTGAGTCGCTTCAGGGAGCAACAGCAGTAGCAGCAAGAGAGTGCTGAGAACCTGATAGGCATTCTTGTATTCTTTTATACGTGGATATGCTTTCTTCCCACGCTGTCTGCATCATGCCCGGACACGTACGTCCTGGTCACCATTCTTGGGTGCTTCACGCTTGACGCCTTGCTCCTCGCCACTCGCAGATCCGTGCCATGTATCAAGGTGACTCGTACGCCGCCTTTTGAACATTGTGAACGAGGTGTATTACACCTGCTGGATTGAACTTTCCGGCAGGCAAACCCAAACGTCTATGCGTAAATACCACGCGCGCCGAGTCACCTCGTAGTTCTAGAACAAGACGTGTGAAAGAACCGTTGAGCGAGCATCATCTTTGTGTCACAACGTTCCTCCTCCAAACAAATACTTTTCGTGAGTGGGGCTGCTGCCCTTTCTCTACGCCTGAGTGTACTCATCCGCCCTTCCCCCTCCCCAAACCTCCAACAGTCAGCACCCACACCGATGTCACCTCAACCTCAGCCCTGATAGGAACAACGACAACAAAATTTACCGACACAACCACCGGAACACCATCAACAAGCACAGAAACCTCGATTCTGATCAGCTTTCCGCCTCAGATGCCTTGGGTCAAAACAACCGCCGAGCCTCACCCTTGCCACGGACTTTGACACGCCCACGCACAACACCTTCAAGACATATTCGACCTCTGGATACAACCAAACATTCGGATGGTTGCGGTCTTCCGAACACTTTCGCGCAGCATGGCGTCGCGGCACGAGGTAAACAAGCGCGAAAAGGGATAGTGCCCACACATCTCGGTGACCCCCCCGGCAAAGACGCAACTCTGTGGTGACATCTAAGAAGTGATCAAAAACGCGTCGAAAAGTATTTCTGTGTTTTTAACAGCTGGAGCTGGTCGAAACTTTCCGCGATGAAAATGGACCTCGGGTTCAGTCTAGAGACAAAATTATCTTCTCGCTGACAACGAACGCCGGATGTTCGCACGTCCTGTATTCTTTGCTTGAGAGATCTCCATCCACATGAAGATAGTGGGCATGATGGAGTTGTCCTCTGCCATTGATGCCTTGAGGGCAGATTTTCCCAATCGAGCCGCTCCCCTCTGCACCCTCTCCAATTTCTCTGACTCCCTCTCCTTATTCCTTCCGTACGATAAAGTCCCGCATGCTGTTCGTCGAGAGGGTCTCCCTCCCAGCGAGTCCGCCCAGTCCTACCCTCCCTCCCTACAACCCTCTCTTGGCTGGGAACATGACGGAGTTCCGTTTGCCGAGCCCCTTCCCCATACGCGAGAACACCGGGCAGAAAAAAAAACATTTTCGAAACCGCCCCCACCCACCACCCTGCTGCCAAAGTTGCTCGACGACTTTGGATCGTTAACAGACTCACTGCCGCGGCGGCCGCAGCCTGTACGGCCGTGCACCCATCCGCAATTCTCGACGAACATGACAACAGAGTCGCCTTGCCGAGAGAGATAGAGCCCCCAACAGCCCCCCCCCCCCCCCCCCCCCCCCC